TTCTTTAATTATAGGTAAGAAAGTAAAGGTGAGCCTTCTGTGTTATCTTTTTAAAAATTTTATTTATTATTATAATTTTTATATTACATTTAATTGCATGTATATTTACAGTATTACATTTCTTTTTCCAGCATAATTACCATGCATATCAGTCAAGACAAAGACATTACTATCTATATCATCATCATTAAATAGCTTTTCATCATTTTTTCAGATTATTATTATTTATTCTCATTGTTTTTATTAAACATTCAATCACCATATATAATTTGGCTTGTAGAGAATTTACCCAACATGAACTACTTCTCAGACCAATCTAGTTGAACTGTGTTATCTTAAAGATCTTTTTGTCCTATACAATTTTTCTTCTCCTTACCACTTGGTCTAAATGGTCTCTATGATTCCATGCAGCCCTGATCAGCAGGCTGGATACTAAATGCATATCAGTCAAGACAAAGACATTACTATCTATATCATCATCATTAAATAGCTTTTCATCATTTTTTCAGATTATTATTATTTATTCTCATTGTTTTTATTAAACATTCAATCACCATATATAATTTGGCTTGTAGAGAATTTACCCAACATGAACTACTTCTCAGACCAATCTAGTTGAACTGTGTTATCTTAAAGATCTTTTTGTCCTATACAATTTTTCTTCTCCTTACCACTTGGTCTAAATGGTCTCTATGATTCCATGCAGCCCTGATCAGCAGGCTGGATACTAACCCTGTCAATGTAAATGCTTCCCACAAAAATGAATTAGTGAACGAGTTCTGATTACTTAAATCCACTAATTGGGTTTTGATGAGTCACTGCTTACTGCATTACATCTGCCCCACCAGGATGCCCTGCCCAAACCCCTCCATAGGTACCCTGATCTGCAGTGTAGGTCACCTGACCAGGTCATATCCCCCTATCTGGAAAGGTGCAAAGCATTCTGGTGACTGACCGTCTGTCCTTGACATGGCAGCTAGTTCTCTGAAGCTTCTCCCCTTTTAGACCTTTCATTGTTGGAGGAATTACCAAGATAGTGTTGCTATGACGACTTGACCAACTTCCTTATAGTTAGGATAAAATGGTTTTCTTTAGTCTAAAGAGATAAAGCTACTGTGAGGAGGATGTAAGACAATACTTTTGTCTGGTTATCTCTCACTCTACCTCACCTTTGTACTTTAGTGTCTCAAGAGAGTCTAAATACTTTCCAGTGAAAAAATCCATGACAAAATCTGAGGCAAAATGTTAAAGGTTTTGAACTGGTATTCCATCTGCATGAGATTTCTTCTCTCATTCTATGTAATGAAATCACATGTTAATTATTTCCATCTCTTATGCCCTGAAAATAAAGCTTTTCTCTTCTGTATTAAATGAACAACAAATACAAAATAATCTCCCTTTTTCTTTACTGTAATTGTCACATGAAGATTGTTGTAGATACTTGCAAGTAGTCCCATGTAAACAACAGCACACTTTGAGACCAGATATGGATTGTTTCCTCTATAAATATCACAAGGGAAGCTTCGCAAAGGATAACAGGAGGGTTTTATCTAAAGATCACATTTTTTCTGACTTTACTTTTGGTATCCCCTGTGGCTTTCTCTGTGAAGTGATTTTGTTCTAATTTGAGTTTGTAAATGTGTTTCCTTCCTCTCACTGTGGTTTTCTCTTTGAGGATACAGTTAGTTTACATGAGAAGGTCATCTTTAGAGAAAGAATATCAGGAAGGAGAAATGGGACCTACTTCCTCTAGCGGTATGCCCTGTGAACTTTGCCTTTTCAAACATGCAAATTCTTAGGCGATATGGGCCCCACAAACTATTCCTTAGTACAGCGAATCTGTGGAGGCCTCTTTTTTATTGTACTTAAGTACTCCATTTGGCTTTCAAATACTCACTATTGAAAAACTAGGTGAGCACATATTGTAATTATGGTTGGCTCAGCTATGGTAGAGATGGTAGGGTGCTACTTTGTGATATGGGAGCCACATGGTAGGCCCAGGTTCAGATCTCTGGGTGTGCCTGCATGTGCCCATGATCCTGGTTGGCTGGAAGACTGTGAAGAGAAGCATGACATACCCATCAAGGGTACCTCTTTCTCCCTTGAAAGAAATAAATTTATTCTTTGAAAGAAACAAACCTAAAAATCAGGGGGGAAATGTAGTTCATCTAGGCTTCTCCTTTTAGCAAAATGATTCTATTCCTTTGCCCAATAAATTGTTCATAAAGAATGAACAATCAAGGGACCAGCAGTTAGCGTAATGGCTATGTCGCTGGACTCCCATGTAGTCGACTGCAGTTTGCGTCCCAGACCCGGTGACTTAAAACTCACACCAGGTGCGTGTGCGTGCGTGCCCAAGATCCTGAGAGGAGAATGGAGGAGAAGGGATTGTGGCGTGGCCATCCCCCCTGGGGGGTGATTTCTCGCTTTCTATTTCTCTGTCTTTCTGTCTGTCTGGCGAGCGCACGTGCCCTATAGCAAAAACCTCTTCGGAAAATCCCCATAAAAAAAACCCCTTTCGAAAAAAAAAAAAAAAAAAAAAAAAAAAGAATGAACATCACCTTCTTTTGCCCTCTACCTTTCTTTAAAGATTAGTGACCAGAAGTTTCATAATAGAATGGCTGGGAGGTAACCAGGTTACAAGCTAAAGAATGAAGAATAGGCTCCACTATCACCCCAATTTTTCATCCAATATCAAGGATCTTCTTAATCTAACTTCATACCATCCTCCCAAGTTGGTCTCACCATTTATCAGTTATATGACCTTTGCAAGCTAAGTATTCAGTGACTTTATTTCCACCTCTGTGAAAAGCAGGGGCGAGTACGTAATGAGTAGGATATTTGTAAGATATAATTAGGTTAAGATACATGAGATATGAACCCAAGACCTTTCCATGTGGGTCCAGTTGTATTATTGCAGCACCATTCACTGGCCTCCATTTGCAACTTTCATCCTGCAGTTTTTAATATATTTTTTTCTATTTTTTTTTAATAGGGTGCATGTGCTTGCCAGAGAGAGACACAGAGAGGGAAAGGAGAATAGCTACACCACAATCCCTTCTCCTCCATTCTCCTCTCAGGATTCTGGGCCTGCACGCATTCATCCCCAGAGTAATTTTCAAACTGCTGAGTCTGACTCAAATTATGATCAGCCATATAGGAATCCAATGCCTTAACCACCACGCCACCTGCTGACCTCTATCTTGCAGTTCTTGTTACCTGGAATACTCTTTCTCTGCTCCAACTTAGATATTCACATAGAGCAAGGCTATGCAATAGAAATACAATGCAACCTGTATGGAAGTTTATGTTTTCCAATAGGGGCATTAAAATGACAATAAGAAGTAAAATTAATCTCAGTAATATATTTTAATTTGTGTATAAAATATTATCATTTTAATATGTAACCAATATAAACATTATTAATGAACACTGGCCCAATAGTACACTAGTTAAGAGAGCTGGGTCCCATACATTGACCATGGTTCAAATCCTGTCCCTGGCAGCTTGAAAAAAAATGACAGGTGCATGTATATATATGCCCAAAATCCTGATAAGGAAAGAGGAATGGAACAAAAGGTTTGCGGTGTGACCACACCCCATTTGAAGGTTATCTCTCTCTCCCTCTTTCTCTCTGGTGGGCACACATACCCTCTGGCAACAAGAACAACAACAAACTAAAAGCTTATTAATGAGGCATTTTAAGTGCTTTATTCTTCTATTGAAAAAAATAATTTTAATATTTTTCCAAGGGTACATGTGCTTGCCAGAGAGAGAGGAGAGGGAGAAAGCACCCTTGAAGGGGACATGTTCCTGCTGCAATCTTTTCTCCTCTATCTTATCAGGATTTGGATGTTGCATGCACATACACCTGGCATGATTTTCTAAACTGCCAGGTCTGAGACTTGTACTGTGAGGTTGGCCATGTAGATCTGGTTCCCTTAAACACCAGGCCATGGGCCCATCCACTCATTTTATACCTTTTCATTAAAATCCAGTGTACATTTTACACTTACAGCACATCTTAGTTCAAACTAGCCACATTTCAAGTGCTGACTAGCCATGTGGGCTAATGGTACTCCACTGGACCATATAGGCAGAGAGGAAGTAGACAGTCCTGGGAGAGAGCCCCTTTAATAATGGCCAGCACATACTGGCTGTTTACATTGTGATGCAGCCACTCTTCTGAGGATATATGTCTTGTAAATCTTAGAATAGTGCTCTCAAGTTGGTACTTCCATTGGTCCCATTGTATAGATGGAAAAACTGAGGCTTAAAGAAGTTAAGTAGCAGCTGGTAAGTAGGAAAGCCCCGTTTTAAACTCTGCTTCACCGAACTCCAGAAATTGTACTGTTGCCCTCTGTATACTGCCTCCCAGATGAGAACGCTAAGCAAAGGTTTGCTTTCTCCTTCGGGTCCTCAGAGAACACATGAAAATCCAGCAAGATGTCACAGTTGGGCAATCAGCTAAGAGTAAGATTGTCCCTGAGCAGATTCTTCTTGGGTTTCCACATGGTGACTCCTGCAATTAGTTATCCTATAACATTTATATTTGTTTATTTTGTGAGCAGATTGTGAATAGATGGAATCTGTGCTCTCTTGACCTTTGGGAAGGGGACTGCCAAAGGGAGGCTTGTTTATGAAACATCTGGAAGGCAGAGACCTTGAAAGCAAACTCCTATGTGAGAATCTTTTCATCGTCATCAAGGCTGTGTAAGAAGGGTGGCCTTTAAACAGTACTTAAAACCAGCCATAAAAATGATCTACTTGCTTGTATTGGCAGGGCCTTACAAATGATGACCTCTGATTTAAAATCAGGATTGCTTTCAGATAGGAAATGTTAACTCATTTTTATGAATATTGCTTCCAGAGTTCAAATGCTGTTAGTTTATGCAGCCAGCTAGCTTCCCTTTCCTTCTGGAATTTCTAACCTTCTGCTTTTTCTTCTTCTTTTGTTTTGTTTTCTGTTTTTGTTTGTTTTTTTTGTTTTATCAACAAAGACCAGATTTCGACAAGAGCTGGACCTTAATCCAAGAGCAGATCCAGATGGATTCCATGGTTATCAAGGGCCTTGATCCAGATACCAATTACCAGTTTGCTGTGAGAGCCATGAATCTCTATGGTCCCAGCCCCCTCAGTGAGCCCAGTGACACCATCCGAACCCTCTGTGAGTACCATGACTCCCCTGCAGGACACCCATAACCGCTTTGCTCAGGTGGCCTCCAGAGCCCTATATGGGGTTTCTTGGCACACTGCCATCTGGAATGGGGCTGTTCTCAGGCTTTCCTCTGGCAATTCTCCTTGGCCCTTTGGAAATTAGAGTCTCTAAGCAGGGAGGGACACAGTCTGTTTCTATACACAGGAGGTCAGCAGAATGTTTATTTTTGCATCCTCCTTGGAGAGTTTGAGGTCACTTTTCTTTCATGATCACAGTGCAGCCTTTTTTCTCCTTTTCATCTTTTGAGAAAATGAGTTCATCTTAGAACTATAGGAGAAAAAAGTAACCCCCCACCTTACACTCATCAGGGTTAGGATTCACCTGCAAATGAAGAACATTCAAGTAACATCAACTTCTTTGAATGAGGATCAGAAAATACCAAAGAAGTCCTTGGAGTGAAGACATGAGCTGGGATCTAATCAATGGCACAAGTTTTCACAGTGCATCTCTGGGGGTTGGGGAAAGCTTGGGCTTATGTTTATCACATGGCCTAGGGACCGTGTTCAAAGTCAGACTCTGTTCCTGGTCAGGAGTTTGAGAAGCTCCCACATGATGCAAAGAACCATAGCTCAATTAGCAAGGGTTTGTATCACTTGGCCAAGCCCAACTTGGCTTATAAATTTTTTTATTTTGGAAGTGGGAGCACAGTGTCTAAACCTTGAAGCTTGTGTCATGGGAGATCTCAGCCATCTTTTGTGTTTGAAGACTCTAATCGTTACAGTTTTGCCAATAAATTCCTCCAGGAGAGTCTTTCTGCTTCTCTCGTCCTCTTTATTCAGGAAAGGAGGTCTCAGAAAAGAAGCCTAGCCCTGGTAGTTGGCTTTCCCTTGGCCAACACAAAGCCTTATTTTTTATTGGTTAGTGAATCTGAATCAACATCTTCCCTTTCCTCACAAAACACTCACACAGTCATGCTGGGTTCCCTAAGTCTTTGGAACTCTGGCTCTTTTGAAAATAATCTTGCCTATACCTTAAATGTGAGGTCTCCTTCCCTAACAATTAAATTGCTGGGATGTATGGTGAGGCCATAACTCCAAAATAGACACACACACACACACACACACACACACACACACACACACATCCTATAGCTACAATTGCTCAGCAATTATTTCATTTTCTTTAGACTTTAGAAGCTATAGGATGGGGTGTTACAGCAGAATAAAAATATGGAGAATTTAATACAAATAAAAAATAATTGAATTAATGCCACTGTTAACAAATGTGCACAATATAATATACAATTCAATATTGAAGAGGATGAATATATGTGTATATTTGATTTGATTATTATAAACTGTATCCATGCCTTAAAACGAAACAAAACATACTGTGGGGACCAGCAGGTGGCGTAATGGTTATATCACTGGACTCACACATAGTCCACAGCAGTTCGAGTCTCGGACCTGCTGGCTTGAAACTCACACCGGGCATGTGTGTGTGCATGCCCAAAATCCCAAGAGGAGACTGGAAAAGAAGGGATTACAGCATGGCCATCCCCTCTGGGGGTGATTTCTTGCTTTCTGTCTCTCTGTCTCTCTCTGTCTACCTGGTGAGTGCATGTGCCCTATAATAAAAGTCTCTCAAAACAAAACAAAACAAACAAACAAAGCAAACAAAAATCATAATATGGCCCACAAAGATATACAGCAATTATATGTAAACCAGAAATCATAATTAAAACAAGAAAAATTTAGAAACTAAAATTCCCAGGCATATGCCAGAGGATGAGTTTCTCTCTAGAAGAAATGTTGACTGTTCTATTCTAAAGGTAGGCCTCTTTTGATTTTTCCTGGATGGCATCTATTCTACAACATTTGGTTGAACTTTGGGATCTCTGGCCAAAATTGGATGAGCAGGAGCTAGGGCCTGACTCTACTCTGAAATACTTTGTCTTTTTGTATTACAAACTGAGCAGGTCTTCTGTGTCGTGAACCCACCTCACTCTCCCCTCACATTGAACTCCACTGCTCCCACTTCGTGAGGCCCTCCATGTAGCTCTTCCTGCCCATCCCTTCTCCATGGAGTCAGAAAGGTAAAAAAAGATGAAATGTCACAGCTTATGCTGACCTTAAAAGTGTATAGGTTGGGACATCTATCGCCTTTTTTAACTTTGTCTCTCTTTCTTAATGGAAATACTGGCTTGGTCTTGGAGTTTCCAATCATTATTTTCTTATTGCTGAATTTCTGTTTGGGGATTAAATGAGATAAGGGATGTGAAAGTATTTCACAAATGTGTAGCAGTTCATGGTAATTATTGTCTTCTGTGAAGTAACACTTCATAATTTCAAAATAATGGTGTGCAGGAGAGGTGGACAAAAGCATGGTATTGACAATTTGGTGAAAACTCAGGTATGAAATATTCTTAAGTCAATATAGTTTTGTTGCTTTTATGGTTACTCAAATCAGAAAAACAGAAACAGGATTTATGACATGATCTACCTTAAGAATACATAAGAATGTGCTATGATTAGTATTTCAACTGTGGATTTCCATTTGGTTATTTCTAATGTTTTAGAGAATGCTTTGTTGGGCACGCATTTATAGTTCCTATTTTGTTATGAGTGTAGATGATTATTTTGCTTCCTGTCAATCTAAAAAGATAAACTAACGCAAAGCACATAAAGCAAAAGTTGATTTGGGCATAAGTATACGGACCGCACCCGGCATACAACCCAGATTAACACTTTGCAGGTTGCCCCACGCATGAGCACAGAGATCTTACAGTCCTCTAGCAGGTTTTAAAAGCAAAAATCACAAGTGGGTGGGGAGCGGGAGGAGATTATATCAGTTCTCTTGGGCCAGTTGCCTTTGGCTGCCAGGATCAACAACTAAGCCCAAGGTCGGACAGGCAGTCTCTGGACAGATGTCCTTGCTGAAGTTGTCCTTGTGTCAGGTTGCAGTGGTCTTTGTGTAAGGTTATGGTTCTGGAAGAGCTCTTTAAATGACAGGTCTTGCTACGGGGTATGTGAGCATGAGAAAACACCTCCTCTGTGGCTTTCCCTAACTTGATTTAGACAAGAATTGGCACAAATTGACACAAATGACTCCGTTTTGATTCAAACAACTTTTGCATTCCAAAACGTACTTTTCCTCCACACATAAAATGACTCAATTTCCAAATAGCATTATCTATATTATTAGAAATTCTGTTCCAGAAATTAGGAAAGCCTACTGTGAGCTAAGCATTGTTTTAACCACTTTAACAAGGAAATCCATCTAATCCTCAAAAAACCTCTGTGCTGCAGGAGTAGTAACTCTGTTTTACTCATTAAAAGAAATGAGTCTTTGAAGAGTTATGTATTTTGCCAAGATTGATAGTTGTAGAGGCAGGATTTGAACTTGGATTTGGCTTACCACAAAGCTATTTCCCTGAATGAGATTCAAATTAAGATGATTCTTCTGGTCCAAAATAGCATGAGTATGCTTAAGGTCAGCCATTAAAGAAAGGACAGGGAGGAGGCCATGTAAATATGGATTAAGGAGGTTCTGAAAGCACAGAGTAAAACCATTAAACATTGCTTTGCTTTGTTTTTGCTTTTAAATCTTATAAGCTACAATGTGCATGCAGAAATGTAAGCTGTGGATATAAGCTATAAGTCAACCCATAGACATCAACATAGCCCTGAAAATTTATAACAGACAACCTTTTTGATTGGTTGGAACCAAGTCAAGTCAGTTAAATATTGTAAACCACTCGAGATGAATTTGTGACCAATATTTCTACATGGTGGACTTTCCCTATTCTCATTCTCCCTACTCTTCCCTACCCACTTTGCTTACTGTATATCAACTTCAGAACAGTAGAATGTTTGAGGAGACCCTCCAACCACAGAGTGCCCAACAGGAACTCTTAGATCCCACCAGGACATATGCCATTCCTTGGATTCCTTTGTGACCTGTTTATTTTAGGACTAAACCTACCCTCTTGTGTATGGGAAGAAAACACTTCAGCCTTACTTACTAGGAAAGCATTTACTTCGCCTGGGCTTTTTAATACTGACCCTACTAGCAATTTACTGCTTACTGGAGCAATTAGAACTTAGTTGCTCTAGGGAACCAGCAGTTAGAGTAATGGCTATGTCACTGGACTCCCATGTAGTCGACCAGGGTCCGCATCCCGTACCTGGTGGCTTAAAACTCATGCTGGGCGCATGTGCGTGCGTGCCCAAGATCCCGAGAGGAGAATGGAGGAGAAGGGATTGTGGCGTGTCTCTGTTTCTCTTTGTCTGTCTGGCGAGCGCACGCCCCCTATAGTAAAAACCTCTCAAAAAAAAAAAAAAAAAACAGAACTTAGTTGCTCTTGAGCAGGTAGCTGGTGAATGCCAGTGTCCAGGGTTTTCAACAGGAGCTCAGCCTGACAGGAGCTCAGTCTGAGTGAGGAAGAAGGATGGTTTTGTGAGTTCTCTGGGGTGTTGAAAGCTATGTGTGATGTTCACATCTTATCTCAAGTATACAAAGTTAAAATCTGAACAGGAAGACGAAAGTTCAGACTTTAATGTACAGGTCCTCTAATGAAAAATAGGATTGGTTTGGTAACTCTAAATAACAGCAATCTACCCTGTATTTACTTCTGTCCTGTTATGGGCAACTTTCTACACAACTAAGCACCTATCTTGTTTCTATGAGGAAATCCAAAGACCAAAATCATAACCTCTTACTCCTTACCCATATCCTGCTGTACGTTTTTCCTGTAAGAAACAGAAGCAATATTATAATTTGCATTTGACTTTATATATTAGCTAGGTGGTGTGCAGAACTGGGGTCTTTGTAGCACATGTGTTCACCACACCTATAGGTCACTTTACTTACTTAGATCCAAGATAAGCCTACTCAAGAAGGATGGAGGCAAGTAGTAAAGGACTTGAATGATGAATAATAGAAATGAAAGAATTTAAAGAAATCACATGCCTTCTTTCTTTTTCCCAGAGACAGAGGAAATTTAAATA